GTTTTTATACACTTTTTAAATATATTTGTTAATATAATATCAATAACTCTATCAATAGTTAAGACATAATGACAACTATGAGTTTTTATAACTAATTTTACATCTTAATTTTTTGATTAATAATTAGTTAAAACTGTATAAACATTTATATATCTTATAACAAAATTATATAATTATAATAGAAAAACAGACAAAAAAATCGCAAAGAATTGCACATAATTTCTAAAAAAGTTATAATTATTGATTAATAATTAGTTAAAACTGTATAAACATTTATATATCTTATAACAAAATTATATAATTATAATAGAAAAACAGACAAAAAAATCGCAAAGAATTGCACATAATTTCTAAAAAAGTTATAATTTTTAAGAGACAAACACACGAAGAAAAACAACTCAAATCTCTAAATCAAATGATTTTTTAAAAATCCAAAACAAGTACTCAAATAAGTATATAATATAAAAGGACATTAGATTTCAGTCTAATATTAAATATCAAAAAAGGAGTCATTGTTTTCAGTCAGCATTACTATCCACTCGTAAACCTAAACCTAATTATATGGTAAATACAGCTCATCCGGCAGTTTGACAGACAAATAGGGACAGACATCACCGCAAACGGTGATTACGTTTTCCACACTTTGTTGAAGAGATCCATAAATGAATCGTAAATCATGAAAGTGATGGCCACGTCGAGGCACACGCGACTCAGCCGGGGTACCGTTCCCTTATAAAACGCCTTAAAGCCCTCATTCTTGGCGATCTGTAGGGCGCAGTCCAGTGTACTCTTATACTTGGCCGCATCCAAGCCCTGCATACGGGTCTTCACCACATCGACGGGCGTATTCCCAAAGACAGAGGCGGCGCCGGCTATCGCACCGAACCCGCCGACCACCAGCTTATTCACGTGCTTGGTAGGGTCGCCCCCTCTGTACCAGTCCTTGAGCGTCTCCATCACGAAGAACCTGATGGCCTGATTGGAGCCCTGTTTGATGATCGTGGCGGTGAGGCCCTGGTATGTGCCGCGTATGCCCTGTTCCCGGACAATCTCGCGCACCCCGTGAGCGAAGCCCTTGAATTTGGGTTTAGCGCTGTTCTGGTCGTTAATGAACTTCACTTTCACGGTCTCCATAGGCGTGACGGCGAATATGGCTTCGCACACACCGGCGCCCAAACCGCACAGCAGTCGCATACCCGGCGATAGGTTGCCCTTTGCGTCCACATTGCGCTTCTTGAGCTCCTCGAAAGCGCCGAACCTATCGTTTTTGGGATCAATTCGGACAATAGTTTTAGTATTTTATTAAAGAGTTTTTCATTCAATAGTTAGTGACAACTGTTTCATGAAATGATTTTTTACACGAAAACACAAATTGCGATAAAATTCATGTGTTTTCTCACTCATTGGTTATCAGTTCATGAGATTAGATGCTAAGCGTTGGACGCAATGAATGAATGGATAGAAACCACGGATGATAACCACTATTATCACACAATTTGTAGCCAATATTTTATAACTTTATATCTAATCCAACAGTTGGTGACAAACACACGGAGAGGGACAGGGATGCGAAGGCATACCTGACGGCCGACTTGGGAATCGATCCATATATGAGTACAGATAATCCCCGGTAGAGACCAAACACGCCATGACTTCTGACGGTCTGTTTGACCACATCTCCAATGCCTGAATACCGGGGTTTGGCTGACCTCTCATCCAATTGCAACTGAGTCTTCACGTACTCCGTGGGAAAGGTTATGCAGATCTCTATACCACCGGTGATGCCACCTTTGGATCAGTTCATACCAACGATAATAGTACCGGTGATCGGCCACAGACACAGTCATATCGTATGGGAGAAAGGGATACAAAATGTTAGGCTAGCAATGGGTACGAGTGGTGATCAGCTGAGCGTAGATGTAGAGGAATATAGTGATAGATAATCAACGGCTATGTATATAATACCCGCAAGAATTCCCTTCAGGGTCTTCTGGAAGTTGGCCGATGGCTGAGATGGCGAGACACTAGTCATCATTTTGGGCTTATTATCACTATTTGGGGCCATTATTGACAGATATTATCGTCTTCAGTGGTGAACTCAATGGATGACTAAATGGTTTGCAATTTGCCGTAAACACACAATAAATACAAATGCACTGAAATTATAACCAAGACACAAAACGATACTGCTAAATATATTATGATAATTATATATTGTATTCAAAAAATATGTAATATATTGAAAAATATAATCAAAAATATTTGTATTAATATTTCACAACCGATTCACTTGAAGGCAAATAGTAAGTAGTTTTGAAAAACTCAATCATTGATTGAGATTTGTTTTAAAAGTCATTTTTATCCTTATGTTTGTGTAGAAAATAAAAGTAACATTACATTTAGAAATTACTTTTTACTTTTCAATACACTCTCGCTGTTGAGAGACTAACTGTAAAAGCGATTGTAATGTTATGTAAAGCAATGCGCTTATAAACTAGTGTTGGAGTTGTTGTTGACATTCCCAGCGCTATTCCCTTCATACATCAAATCGCATACATAAGCGCACAGTTACGACATGTCTCTCCCATTCCCCCTCCGCGGCATATAACTGTGCCCTCTCACTTTCAGCGCCAGAATTATCTTGGTTCAAACTGCAAAGTTTTGTGCACTCAAAAGTACGAGCAAAAATAAGTGTCTAATTAGCGAGGGCAATATTTGCAAAAATTCTGGCATATATTCCCAATGTTTCCGTTATAATTGTAGGGAGTTATCAAACACTAAGCCATGATTTGCATTTTACGTAACGGAAAGGCACTCTCACTTCACAGATAATCACGTGACTTATTCTGGGCACAGGGAGGTGCTATTATTACCGACTTCCCCGTAATAATAGATAATTTTTACGTAAAAAGTGTCCAGAATTTATAACTTAATCATAAATTCTTAATCTATTCTCATATTGTATTTTGCATTCAAAAATTCATACACTATATTGTATGCCTTAATTGTTTTTAATAAATTCATGAAAAGTGTACACCTTTTCTGTGGTTAATATTTTTTGACAACTTTTTCAAATAGATTAGTATATCGACAATTTTCCTAATAGTCGTATAAATATTATAATAATAAAGGTATAAATAACTTATTGTTTCAATATAGTCAACTCTTATATTAAAGTTATAAGGAAATCTAACTGAACAATTTAATTTATTAGGTTTATTATAATGTTCTTAAAATTCCAGCAAACTTTAGACGTGTTATAAAAATTAATTTCACATTTAATGTTGAGATATGAATGCAATGAATACTAGGAGTGGTATATCAATAGATAAGAGTATGTCTAATGTGAGCAGACAGTCGATGGCATGGTATACCTCTATGAAAGCTAATGCTTGAGCACATGAACTGATATATTGGTTCATATTCGTCACCACACATGCCATCGCACACTAACTATATGGGGAACGGTATTCAAGGTCTGTTGTCAGGAATAAAACATTTTATGTATCAATATGTTTGACAAATAAGTCATGAATTTTGGCGACAGAATATGTATCAGGTGTGTGAACACACGTTCATTGATGGACTAAATGCTGGATCAGTTTTTGGTATTTTGATGCCAATATAATGTTAAGCTTTAGAAATATATTTTGTACCACTTTTTGGGAATATTATAAAAATCGATGAATATTTTCATTTAAAACTAGAATTTCATAATTTTTTCCATGGATTAAAATTAAATGTACAATACTTACTTTGAGAATACGTAATACAACTTTATTATACAGTAGTATATTAAATTTTATGCTAGGTCCTATTGTACTAACTTACTGCACATTTTCATAGTTTTAAAATTTAGTTTATAACTTATAAAAGTGACAAAATAATAGTGAAATAAATATCGATATTAAATGAAAATGAAAAAACAAATATTACTTTTCAATAGAATTTAATATATATTTCGCTTTTAAAAAATGACTCAAAATATGATAATTAATTTACAATTTAAAAAATGAGAGACAATTACGATAAGAAGTAACACATGAAACACAAAAGGTATGAACAGATAGTGTTTTGCATGCATTTAATGCACTGGAATCACACCATTACCTGCCGGTGCCAGCGATTTGATAGATAAGAATATACTATTTGTATAATTATAGTAACAATTGCTATGCCTTTTATATATTTATACATCATATTGATAAGTAGTATATCACACGTATTCATGCGGGTATTGTATGTCAAAAAAGTGGGAGAGAGAGAGAGACAGAGAAACAAATGATAAAAAGTATTTGAAAACAACAGAAAAATTATTGATTAAAGATATAATGTTGTGATAAAAACTTGTATTTTAATTGTGTGTTTGCATAGAGAGCACAATATTTATGAGTATATTATTGTTTTTGTCAATAATTAAATGGTTTATTGAATACAACATATTCTGTAGATTTGTTTTTTGTATTTAAACTTTTTTAATCGGATTTACATTTAAAATGTAATTTAATATACAGTACATTATAAAAACAAAATTCATGAAAAAATTACATTTCTCAAATTCAAAAAACTAGTTTATTATTTCGGTATTAGTTATTAAATTTATTGGTATTTATTTTCTCGTTTAGAAACAAACATAAAAATCTATGATTTTTGTCAAATATCTTAGTAACTAAAACATCCGGATAATTATATATTAATATATATTCTTGAGGTAACAATTCGTTGAAAGATATTTTGTGTTTGTTATCCAATAGACAGAGATAATAATAACTGTATATAGAGATACAGTTTTCATATCGTATTTAGAGATACAGATACAGAGAGGCTCTTATTATTTGATAAGAATTTGTTTTAAATTGAAATTTGTTTTTTGTTTTTGTCAAATAAATTGTGCAAACAATCAATTGTTGAGAGAATATACATGTATAGAGAAAAAGAGAGAGAAAACGTGTCATCAATTAGTTAATGAAAACCAAAAATTAATTTTTCTTATTAATTGATATATTGTATGGTATTGTATGTATATTTTACTGTATATGTCATAAATCTCACATTTAGTTTCCAATTGCTTTTTATTGAAAGTATTTTATTTTGTTGTCTTAGTTTTATTAATTAATTTAATATATCTGATATACAATTAATTGTTTTTCACTGCTATCGCGACCTTAAATGCAATTTATTAATTTTCACAATTCGTTAGTCCATTGAATAATAATCGTAATAATAATCAGAGATAATAACAAAATGATGGATAGGTAAGGAAATATATAGACGATATGATCACTCATGTATTTAATTAATTTATAACTTTTTTTTCAATAATTACTCTAAAAAATGCTCTCAAATAGATTACTTCGTTTAATATATTACTTATTAATAATTCAATTTATTATATATATATAATTAGCTATAATTTTGCCAAAAAAGTCTTTAATTGCGACAATTAATTAATAATTTGTTTTTTGTCTTATAATAGTCTTATAATCTTAAGGCACACCACAAAGAAAGAGAAGATATAT